GTGTACTCTGAGTTAGCTGTGCTGTTGTTACAGTATAAGACAGTTTATCCAGCGGCTTTAGCTTCTGGATGTGTTTTACCCTGAAATCAGAGCCAGCCCAAGGTGTTCTCCGCCGGGCTGGACATCTTGGACATGTACGGGAAGAGTCCAGAGCACTGTGCGGAGTTCTGGAAAGCTGTGCAAGAGATGTGGCTCAAGTTCTATGGCTCCGACATGATCACTATAGCAGCAGTCAATGTACGTATAAACAACCCAGCACCTCCCTCCACACGGTCTGCACCTCGCACAAGGACAGAGTGGTGCATTCTGGGGGAAACACACTGAAATAAGCTTGTGGGCTTCTCGTTCCCCTTCACCCAGGGCTCCAGTCCTGCAGGAGGCTGCCTGCTGTCGATGACATGTGACTACAGAATAATGGCGGATAACCCTCGTTACAGCATCGGTCTCAATGAGACCAAGCTCGGCATTGTAGCACCTTTTTGGTAAGAAATCACACCAACACTAATTACAATAATAATTCATAGCACCAGCAGCAAGATAGAAACACAGTTTACATGCATTAGTCTCATTTAAGCTCAGTGAATGCGAGAGATCTGCAGTTAGCTTCTTCTCCTGCGCTGTAACGCTGCTGCTGTGGAGATAAAAACAAAGAACTCATTTCAGTCTCACTGCGCTTCATCTTTTTGAATCAGGATCTGTATAATTTTGCGCCAAAAGCCCCTAAACCCAAAACAACTTCTCAGTTTAAAAACTTTTATTAACATTTCACTGTGAAACTGCTCCTGCAGGTTTAAGGACACTATGGTAAACACAGTCGGACATCGGACCACAGAGATGGCCCTACAGCTGGGGCTGCTCTACAGCCCTGCAGAGGCCTTGAAGATAGGATTGGTGGACCAGTTGGTGCGTGAAGACCAGGTCCTCACTACAGCCACCGAGACCATGACCAAGTGGTTGGCTATCCCAGGTATACTAAACATCATACTGCACCTTAAGCTGTCCACTCGAGTTATACTTGTCATGTTTTCCACCTGTGGTGCTGCACAATATGTTCATGTGTATGTCAGGTTATTGCTGCCAAAAGATTCGCCTGAGTCAAGATTTCTAATCTTGTTTCTATTCAAAATAAAAAGTCTGACAGCTCAAGTCAAGGTAAAAATGTCTGTCTCTCCTCTTCACTGCTCATGTGTCATAATCAACACAGGAAAAGTTTAAAAGGTCGTCCTATTATCTCAATGCTGCTGTGGTTTTCAGTCAAACAGATGTTAGATGGAAATGTGTGATCACCTCTGTAAAATCAGAAGTTTTGGAGTATTCAGGTGGTTACACAAGGTCGAACTACACTACTCTACAAAAAACAAAGCGAGCTACACGTCTGAGACTACAGGCTCAGTTAGCATGTTAAAACTTGTCAACGTTTCAAGACCAGACAAGCACGACTCATTTGACACCAAAGCGGAAACGTTTGAACATAATGTTGCACGGTGCAGTCAGCAAGTCGATCATAAGCACGTCATGCATCTATCCAATATCAAAAGCTTGGCCCAAATTGTGCCATGATGCCTTCACAGCAGCCAAACTACAACAGACGTGCTGGGAATGAAAAGAATCGAGGTTTTGCAGCGGCTCCGTCAAAGTCCAGACATCAGCTTGATTGAAATGCTACGACTGGAGTCTCACTAAAGACAAACGGGCCAAAACTCCTCCGATGATGTGAGACTGAAAGTCGTGCAGTCAATAACGACTTTATTGCTGTTCTGCAGAGTTCCTGCACACTATTAAAGACAAGCAAATTATGTTTTATTTAAAGTAGATTTATTTGTGTGGCTGTAGCTCTGGCGGTAGAGCAGGTCCTCTACTGATCAGAAGGTTGGAGGTTCGTCTACATGCCAAATATCCTTGGGCAACATACTAACCTCAAATTGCTCTGAATGTGTGTGAATGTTAGCTATGAAGCACTTAGAAAGATGTGAATGGGTGAATGCACAAGTCCATTTACCATTTGGGTAATAAAATTGCAGGTAACATTTCCAAGGCAGGCAGGATAAAAATGAGATGTTAACAGTGTATGTTTGTTTTAAGGTGAGGTGCCACGAACCCGCATGTAGGGAGATGTAACCTGGTACCTCAGAAGTGTGGATATGGGTGTATTACCATCTTTGCAGCAGTATTCAGTAGATCCTGGTACTTGGCAGGATGTGCAGGAGGCAGAAAAAGAGCACAAGCTTTCAGCACCTGTTAGAAATGTCACTTTCTCCACAATAGTGCTGCAATTGAATATATTTTGCAATGAATTCAAGCCCATGTCAGCATTCATAGAAGAAATTGTATGTTAATGCACAGCGTTTGTTTCATTTGCAGATCACGCCAGACAGCTCACAAAGTCCATGATGAGGAAGCCAACCATAGACAAGCTGACGTCCAACAGAGAGGCTGATGTCAATAACTTTGTCAAGTTCATCACCAAGGACTCTATTCAGAAGTCTCTGGGGATGTATCTGGAGATGCTTAAGAGAAGAAAGGCTTAGAGAGGGAAACATGTTTGCACACTAGAGGGACTCTGTAGCACCAGTTAAAGATGTGATCTGACATTAAGCAGTGA